CGGCCGCCGGGCCCTGACCGGACCTCTCCCCCGCAGCACCATGGCCAACAGCGAGCGCACCTTCATCGCCATCAAGCCGGACGGCGTCCAGCGCGGCCTGGTGGGCGACATCATCAAGCGCTTTGAGCAGAAGGGCTTCCGTCTGGTGGGCATGAAGCTCGTTCAGGTACGGGGTCCCCTCGCCGCGCTCCGTGGCCTGTCCCTGGTGGCCCAACCCCGCGGTAGCGGCTTGCCCGGGTTCCTTTGCTCATTTTGACCCCGCGGGATGAATCCCTTGCCGTCGACGCCCCCTCCCCGGGCTCCCTGGCGCGCCGAGGCGGGGCTGCCTTTTCCGAGACCCGGCCCGTGACCGACGCCCTTGGGAAGGTTAAGAGGTAACGTGACTCCGGCTCCGTGTCCGCGTGGACTTGACACCCTGCCCGTTCGTCGCTGGGGGGCAGCAGCGAGTGGAAGAAAGCCTGCGCCTCGAACCCCGTTCCCCGGGCCCACGTGGCCCACCGGATGCACGGGTGGAGGCCTGCGGCCCTCTTGGTGCTTTAGAAACTTGGAGGGGCTGGAGATTTTAGGTGGGTGTCCCTTGCTCCGCCCGTTTTCCGCAGACTCCCTTTAGCTTCCGTATATGTTCCACATGAAACTGCACAGATCTGGACCCTAAACTTTACAGAATAAGTATAAGGTACTAAAATTGCAACCAGCCTCATTCGCTAGGAGGAGCATGTTCTCAGGTAACATCTGCTAGGCTGATTTCAAAGGGCATCTCCCTGGTCTATGGTTCCCCCGGGTATTTGAAAGTGGAGCATGCTGTGAAACCTTTCGAAGCCCAAATGGCAAAAAGCAATGCAGCAATTGTTTCTGAGGATTCCCGGATCCCCCGAAACAACCGAATAGTACATAAACCCTAACACTAATGCGAGGGAGCTTCAAAGAATTTGAAAAACAAAACCCCCCAAAAAACAACAACAAAAGAAATTAAGAGATCATCTCCCCTAACATTTTGAAGCCCCTTTAGGGCGTTTGCAGACACAGCTCAAAGCTGTGGGGTCTGGACCCTGAGGTGCTGACCTCCTGGGGAGGGGCTGGTCCTGTCATCACTGCTGGGGGTTCCTGCAGACAGCTTGCACCACGAAACAGACCCTGAATGCTTGTCGTTAAAGAGCGCCTTCTTTTCAAACTTTGACTCTACGCAGTATTTTCCTAAAAGCAACAATCCTCGTGGATTTCTTTCCATGGGTGAAAAGGGCACTCCTGTAGGTGCAGCAAAGTGGTGGAAAGCAGACTTTGAGGAACGTGGGGGCTGCCAGTCTCTCCTGGTTGTCCTTAAGGGATGGTCCTGGTTTAACTTCCTGCGCTGAGATCCTCAACCACTCACATTATGGGCATGTCTCTGGTCGGTTGCAATGGCCAGATTTTGTGGTTTGGATTGGTTTTTATAAACTCCTTAGGCAGCAGTTCTCAACCTGTGGGTTGCGACCCCTTTGGGGGTTGAGTGACCCTTTCACAGGGGTTGCCTGGGTCATAACAGTAGCAAAATGACAGTGATGAAGTAGCAACGAAAATAATTTTATAGTTGGGGGTCGCCACCACATGAGCTGTGTGAAAGGAAGGGTCGTGGCATTAGGAAGGTGGAGAACTCAACAAAACAAATGGCTATCAAGTCGCTTCTCACTGGGTAGAACTGCCCCCGTGGGTTTCCGAGAAGGCCACGCTTTGCAGGAGTAGAAAGCCTCATCTTTCCTGTGTCTGGTTGGTTTTGGAACTA